CCCCTCGCAGAAATGCGGGCAACATTTTTTAGAGCCCTAAATCCAAAATGGCTGCCATCAACATAGGTTGAACATTTGCTTTTCAATGTTTTGGCCTACAATGTTGTTCAATACATGGTTTCTGGCACTTTTTGGGTTGAGGAATTCATATTTGATGTTGTTTTGATGATTTGACCTATTTTTGACCTTCAAATCTAAGATGGCCGCCAATTTTTCAGCTCCAAAAGGTCGATTTTTCAACGTTGTCGTAGAGCCTTCATATTGGGCTCTAATGAAAGCTATGCTCATGCTGAGTTAAGTTATAAACAGTAAAACAACAAGTAAGTACACAGAGGTCATCTCAGAGGTCAAAAAGGTCAACATTTGTGGCTGATGAGAAACAAACCGTTGCTCTCTATGCTCACAAATGTCTCATCTTCACTTCTGAGCCTCGAACAACACCGGCTTTGTGTCTCAGAGACTCTCGACGTAAACACATGCCGCCCCACCTCTCTTTATATCTACACTAAAACACCCCCTGAACGCAGAGTCGACTTTAATAAGGATTGTGCATCCCTTTGTGGTCATTCTTGTGTTTGTTATCAGTTGCTTAATGGTTATGTTGTGCTGCATGTCTCATTGTATATCAAACATGGCTACATAATGTACATACTAACCACATTATGTATTTTTGTACATGTTTTTTCTCAGTTTTTAGGTATTTGTACCATTTTATTTCAGTAAAATAAAATATAATCAACATGAACTTCACATAGAAACTCACTCTACACTTGCTCTTGCTACATTTTTTATATTCCCAGCCGTATTTTTATGTGTTTTTCTTACATTTATGGTTTTATTTTACTGCGATATCGCCCTTTTTTTAAGTGCAATGCATTTTATGCTATTTTTCAACACACTTTTCCAAGTAAAATAGTCATTCTTTTAATGCACTACATGTATCTGCAGTTGTAAGTTACAATCATGTCTGCATACTTTTATTTTTTTACTTTAAGTACACACCGCATATTAGAAAATATGCTTATTTGCATGCAGTACTTCAATATAACACGGCACCTTATGAACTTTGACCCTGTTGCTCACTGTGCAAAGGATTTTGGGTCAGAACAAGAGAAGCATTCTGCAAAATGAGAGGAAATAAAGGCTTTCTGCATCAAACAAACCATGCAGATTAGGATATGTAATGTTTGGGGGTGTAGTGACGCAGGCAGGGAGTTGAACAGCTGCAGACTCTCCAGGTGTCTTCAATGAGTTAATCAGAGCTGAGGAGCTTCAGTTTAAAAGCAGAGGAGCTTCATCAGATCACAGCAGGAGGCATGGAGCTCATAACGTCTGTGAGGTGAGGACAAACTGTCTGATTCTTTAAAAGCTGCTTCACCAAACAGTAGGTTTTACTAGACATTTTTATAATGTTCAAAAGAAAGTTGGAGAAACAAGAGAAGTCAACAGAAGTAAAAAAAAGAGGACATCATTTCAAGAATGAGATTTGGTCACACGGCTAAATAACACATTATTCGGCAAATGTGAATATTGTGGTCCTTATGAAACAGTGGAGCACATTTGTTTGCAATGTCCCAAATACCATCAAGAACATATATTACTAAAGGAAGCACTGAACAGAAGTCAAACAGAATTAAATCTAGTAGAGATTTAGAGAAGGAGTTCAGGGGATGTAGCATAGGGCAGAGTTTAGGTTGTTAAAAAGGACAGGAATTGTATTAAGAATTGAGATTAACACTGAGCTGATCCACACTGCATTTCAGAAGGTGGCGGTAAATGCACCTAAAAGCTGTTGGCCAACTGCCATAAAACCATAGAAGAAGACAACCCATCTGATTCTTTAAAAGCTGCTTCTGAGAGGTTTAACGTGTGTCTGTGTGTGTGTGTGTGTGCGTGTGTGTGTGTGTGTGTGTGTAGGGTTTTGTGGATCTGTCTGCTGCTGGTCGGCAGTGGGGAGGGTTTTCCTGCAACAAAAGGAGGTGAGTTTCTATGAGAAAACACTGATATATTAAGACAAAGTTACTCTTCAGTATACATACATTGAAGCATGGACATTCGCACATTTAGATTAGAAGTGAAAACAAATCTAAAAAGTTTAAATTAAAGCTATTTGGTGCAACATCTTTAGGAACATATGTTTAACAGAATATGCTAAAGCTTAAAGTACACAGCTCCATCTATTGGGCTGTTTTGTAATATATGTAGAAGCGTGACACCTAATTGTTTTTATGTGTAACTCTAACCTGCGACCCGGGGCTCTGGAGGATCTGAAGCTCCAAATGAGGATCCTCAGAGTTACAAACCAGACAAGTTCATCATGCCTTCGGATTCAAACCAAGGGTCCGTCAACCTCACTGCTCCACCCACTGAAGCTGGGGATCAGCCTCCATCCAGAGAGGGTACACACATCCTTTACTCGCGTAGAAGTACACGCATCCTTTACTCGCGTAGAAGTACACGCATCCTTTACTCACGTAGAAGTACACGCATCCTTTACTCGCGTAGAAGTACACACATCCTTTACTCACATATAAGTACACACATCCTTTACTCAAGTAGAAGTACACACATCCTTTACTCAAGTAGAAGTACACACATCCTTTACTCAAGTAGAAGTACAGATACTCGTGTTTAAATATACTCTGGTAAAAGTAGAAGTACTGACTAAACTTCTTTACTCAAGTCAAAGTAAAGAGGGCTTTGAAATGTACTTCAGTATAAAGTACCCATAACTAGCAGCTGTTTTAAAGAGTACCTGACCTCCCTTTATATTAATAGAACAATAATGTCATTGTTAGCTAATGAATGTTTCCATGCTGAACAACGGCAACATGACAACGTTTTCATTGGTCCCTCTTCTTTAGAGAAGACCAGGAAATGATGGATACACGGATCGTGTTCAAATCAATAGACTCTAAATAATAATGATCACGCCACCAAACACGCATTCAAACTAAAGGAACCAGCTTGTTTGGAAAATGTAAGAAGTAGAAAGTACAGGTATTTGGGTTCAACATGTAAGAAGTAGAAAGTACAGGTATTTGGGTTCAACATGTAAGAAGTAGAAAGTATAGCCATTTGTGTTCAAAATGTAAGAAGTAGAAAGTACAGGTATTTGTGTTCAACATGTAAGAAGTAGAAAGTACAGGTATTTGTGGTCAAAGTAAAAAGTCGTCAGTACTTTACTCCACTACTTATTTGTCTGATACCAGAGAAATGCACTTAAGTACAGTAACAAAGTATTTGTTCTCCACTACTTTCCTCCTCTCCTCCATCTGGTTCTGGTGGAAACGCAGATACAGATTTGGGAGTATCGTCGTCCAGTTTGGTCCACAGCGTTTCTCCTGCTTGGAACAATCCTCCAATGTTGGACTTTGGTGACGGACCCGTTCCTTACATCGGGGGTCCTGAAGCGTACCACTTTGGTCCCGGGTCTTTCCCTTTCGGCACCATTGAGTCTGTGCAAAAAGGCAGTAAGTCTGTGTTGTGAAAATACTGAATGTACTCTTCCAACATGAGAGCAACATGCTAACAAAGGTATCCCAACTGTAGCTGTGTACATGACAGGATGTATGATTACCTAGAAGAGCATCAGGACTGTTTGAGGCATATGATAGCTATGTGATTAACATGATGATTCAGCCTCTATGGAGATAGACATATGACAAGCATGATCATTTCTGACGTGGAGCTAATCTGAAGTAAACATTGAATACTGCTTTCTATTCCTCCATCTTGTGACTGTGTAACTCCCTCTCTTGGATATCAGCATGTGAAGGACACTGTTCAGGAACTAGTTGATGCTCTGTATGTGATGACTACTTCCATTCTGGAGAGGATCAGAAATACATGGATCCTGAGATTGAAGCTCAAGCCGGGGACAATGATCTTTTAGATTGGTTCAGAAGCTTTAAGTTAACCGTATTCTCCATAAACTGGTTTAAATTTGGCCAAAACCTCTCTCTAGTTGCAGAAAGTACCTCAACAGGTGGACGTTTTGATGGACCTGTTCCCTATGATGGTGCGAATCAATACTCCAACGTAGGCTACCCCGTTACAAATGAAGGTACGTTTTCCAACTTTTAGACTGGATTAGAAGCATTACATCACATTTATTCCCTAAAAACTTGGACATTTTGCCTAAACATGTCTGTTTCAGGTCAGACTGGTCTCTATGATGGACCTGTTCCCAATGGCGCTGCTACTCGTTATGCCAACGCAAAACCTGTGTCAAAAGACTGTAGGTCTTCCAATAAAACCATTTGGAAAATGAAAGTTTTTGTTTTTTTCATGGACTCCTTGACATTATGGCTAAATCTATCTCTAGTTTCCCCCCGTGGACGTGTTGATGGACCTGTTCCCTATGACGATGATACTCGATACGCCAACGCAGCCCCGATAAATGCCGGTAAGCCTTTTAACTTTTAAACTGGTTCAGAATCTTTAAATTAGCTATAAACTGCTGGACATTTTGCCTAAAACTGCCTCTGGTGCCAGGTCAAACTGGAAGTAACCCAGCTGCCCCAGGTGGACTCTATGATAGACCTGATCCCAATGGTGGTGCAAAACCTGTGTCAATAAACGGTAAGTCTTCCAAACTATAGAACCATCAAGAAGCTTGAAATTAAGTTTTTGTCCATGGACTCCTTGACCTTTTGGCTAAATCTATCTCTAGTTGCCCCCAGTGGACTTGTTGATGGACCTGTTCCCTATGGCGTTGCTACTCGTCATACAAATGCAAACCCAGTGAAAAAAGATAGTAAGTCTTCTAACCTATATACTAGTTAAGAAACATAACGTAGACTTCTCTGCATCTTGCCTAAATCTCTCTCTGGTTTCAGGTCAGTCTGGTAACCTAGGATCCATTCCCAGTGGCGTTGCTCCTGAAGTGATCTCCGATGGTTATGTATTTTATCCTTTTGGCAACATGGACGGTAAGTTACCCAATTATCCTCAGATTAGTTTAGAGGCATGTCTTTATTGCCTGACCCTGTCTCTAGTTGCAGACCGTAACACCGCTGCCTCAGGACGTGTTGATGGACCTGTTCCCTTCGGCGGTGATACTCATTATGCCAACGCAGCCCCGATAAATGCCGGTAAGCCTTTTAACTTATAAACTGGTTCAGAATCTTTAAATTAGCTATAAACTGCTGGACATTTTTGCCTAAAACTGCCTCTGGTTCCAGGTCAAACTGGAAGTAACCCAGCTGCCCCAGGTGGACTCGATGATAGACCTGATCCCAATGGTGGTGCAAAACCTGTGTCAATAAACGGTAAGTCTTCCAACCTATAGAACCATCAAGAAGCTTGAAATTAAGTTTTTGTCCATGGACTCCTTGACCTTTTGGCTAAATCTATCTCTAGTTGCCCCCAGTGGACTTGTTGATGGACCTGTTCCCTTTGGCGGTGATACTCGATACCCCAACGCAGGCTACCCTGTGACAAATAAAGGTACGTTTTTGACTGGTTTAGAAGCATAACATGACGTTCGTTTCATTTAACTTCTCAACCTTTCGCCTAAATATGTCTCTGGTTCCAGGTCAAACTGGTAGGAGCACAGCTGATGGACCGGTTCCCTATGGAAGTGCTTCTCATTACACAAACGCAGACCCGACAAAAGACGGTAAGTCTTCCAACCTATAGACCGGTTTATAAGCATAACATTTACTTTGTTTTCCATAAACTCAAACCTCTCTCTGGTCTCAGGTCAGTCTGGTAACCCAGGATCTGTTCCCAGTGGCGCTGCTCCTGAAGTGATCTCCTATGGTTATGGCGGTTATCCTTTAGGCAACATGGACGGTAACTTACCCAATTATCCTTAGATTAGTTTAGAGGCATGTCTTTATTGACTAAAATCTCCTTACTTTTTGCCTGAATCTGTCTCGAGTTGCAGAAAGTAACACCACTGCCTCAGAACGTGTTGATGGACCTGTTTCCTATGGCGGTGCTACTCGTCATACAAATGCTAACCCAGTGAAAAAAGATAGTAAGTCTTCTAACCTATATACTAGTTAAGAAACATAACATAGACTTCTCTGCATCTTGCCTAAATCTCTCTCTGGTTTCAGGTCAGTCTGGTAACCTAGGATCCATTCCCAGTGGCGTTGCTCCTGAAGTGATCTCCGATGGTTATGTATTTTATCCTTTTGGCAACATGGACGGTAAGTTACCCAATTATCCACAGATTAGTTTAGAGGCATGTCTTTATTGCCTGACTCTGTCTGTAGTTGCAGACCGTAACACCGCTGCCTCAGGACGTGTTGATGGACCTGTTCCCTTCGGCGGTGATACTCGTTATGCCAACGCAGCCCCGATAAATGCCGGTAAGCCTTTTAACTTTTAAACTGGTTCAGAATCTTTAAATTAGCTATAAAATGCTGGACATTTTGCCTAAAACTGCCTCTGGTTCCAGGTCAAACTGGAAGTAACCCAGCTTCCCTAGGTGGACTCGATGATAGACCTGATCCCAATGGTGGTGCAAAACCTGTGTCAATAAACGGTAAGTCTTCCAACCTATAGAACCATCAAGAAGCTTGAAATTAAGTTTTTGTCCATGGACTCCTTGACCTTTTGGCTAAATCTATCTCTAGTTGCCCCCAGTGGACTTGTTGATGGACCTGTTCCCTTTGGCGGTGATGCTCAAGACCCCAACGCAGGCTACCCTGTGACAAATAAAGGTACGTTTTTGACTAGTTTAGAAGCATAACATGACGTTCGTTTCATTTAACTTCTCAACCTTTCGCCTAAATATGTCTCTGGTTCCAGGTCAAACTGGTAGGAGCACAGCTAATGGACCGGTTCCCTATGGAAGTGCTTCTCAATACACAAACGCAGACCCGACAAAAGACGGTAAGTCTTCCAACCTATAGACCGGTTTATAAGCATAACATTTACTTTGTTTTCCATAAATTCAAACCTCTCTCTGGTCTCAGGTCAGTCTGGTAACCCAGGATCTGTTCCCAGTGGCGCTGCTCCTGAAGTGATCTCCTATGGTTATGGCGGTTATCCTTTAGGCAACATGGACGGTAAGTTACCCAATTATCCTTAGATTAGTTTAGAGGCATGTCTTTATTGACTAAAATCTCCTTACTTTTTGCCTGAATCTGTCTCGAGTTGCAGAAAGTAACACCACTGCCTCAGGACGTGTTGATGGACCTGTTCCCTATGGCGGTGCTACTCGTCATACAAATGCAAACCCAGTGAAAAAAGATAGTAAGTCTTCTAACCTATATACTAGTTAAGAAACATAACATAGACTTCTCTGCATCTTGCCTAAATCTCTCTCTGGTTTCAGGTCAGTCTGGTAACCTAGGATCCATTCCCAGTGGCGTTGCTCCTGAAGTGATCTCCGATGGTTATGTATTTTATCCTTTTGGCAACATGGACGGTAAGTTACCCAATTATCCACAGATTAGTTTAGAGGCATGTCTTTATTGCCTGACCCTGTCTCTAGTTGCAGACCGTAACACCGCTGCCTCAGGACGTGTTGATGGACCTGTTCCCTTCGGCGGTGATACTCGTTATGCCAACGCAGCCCCGATAAATGCCGGTAAGCCTTTTAACTTATAAACTGGTTCAGAATCTTTAAATTAGCTATAAACTGCTGGACATTTTGCCTAAAACTGCCTCTGGTTCCAGGTCAAACTGGAAGTAACCCAGCTGCCCCAGGTGGACTCGATGATAGACCTGATCCCAATGGTGGTGCAAAACCTGTGTCATTAAACGGTAAGTCTTCCAACCTATAGAACCATCAAGAAGCTTGAAATTAAGTTTTTGTCCATGGACTCCTTGACCTTTTGGCTAAATCTATCTCTAGTTGCCCCCAGTGGACTTGTTAATGGACCTGTTCCCTTTGGCGGTGATACTCAAGACCCCAACGCAGGCTACCCTGTGACAAATAAAGGTACGTTTTTGACTGGTTTAGAAGCATAACATGACGTTCGTTTCATTTAACTTCTCAACCTTTCGCCTAAATATGTCTCTGGTTCCAGGTCAAACTGGTAGGAGCACAGCTGATGGACCGGTTCCCTATGGAAGTGCTTCTCATTACACAAACGCAGACCCGACAAAAGACAGTAAGTCTTCCAACCTATAGACCGGTTTATAAGCATAACATTTACTTTGTTTTCCATAAACTCAAACCTCTCTCTGGTCTCAGGTCAGTCTGGTAACCTAGGATCCATTCCCAGTGGCGTTGCTCCTGAAGTGATCTCCTATGGTTATGGATTTTATCCTTTTGGCAACGTGGACGGTAAATTACCCAATTATCCTCAGATTAGTTTAGAGGCATGTCTTTATTGCCTGACTCTGTCTCTAGTTGCAGACCGTAACACCCCTGCCTCAGGACGTGTTGATGGACCTGTTCCCTTCGGCGATACTCGTTATGCCAACGCAGCCCCGATAAATGCAGGTAAGTCTTTTAACTTATAAACTGGTTCAGAAGTTTTAAATTGACTATAAAATGCTGGACAGTTTGCCTAAAACTGCCTCTGGTTCCAGGTCAAACTGGAAGTAACCCAGCTGCCCCAGGTGGACTCGATGATGGACCTGATCCCTATGGTGGTGCAAAACCTGTGTCAATAAACGGTAAGTCTTCCAAACTATAGAACCATCAAGAAGCTTGAAATTAAGTTTTTGTCCATGGACTCCTTGACCTTTTGGCTAAATCTATCTCTAGTTGCCCCCAGTGGACGTGTTGATGGACCTGTTCCCTTTGATGCTACTCAATACGTTAAAACGGGGTACGCCATTACAAATGAAGGTCAGTCTTCAATATTTTATACTGGTTTAGAAGCATTACATCACATTTATTCCCTAAAAACGTGGACATTTTCCTTAAATATGTCTGTTTCAGGTCAGACTGGTCTCTATGATGGACCTGTTCCCTATGACGGTGCGACTCGTTATGCCAACGCAAAACCTGTGTCAAAAGACAGTAAGTCCTCCAATATATAGACTAGTTAAGAAGCATTACATTAACTTTGTTTTCCATAAACTCAAACCTCTCTCTGGTTTCAGGTCAGTCTGGTAACCCAGGATCTGTTCCCAGTGGCGTTGCTCCTGAAGTGGTCTCTTATGGTTATGGAGGTTATCCTTTTGCCAACATGGACGGTAAGTTACCCAATTATCCTCAGATTTTTTTTTTTGACAAATATTTTTATTGGTATTTCGTTTTTTCAGCATAAGACATTGCACAAGTATATATCCCACAAAGAAAAATCAAAAACATAATAATACAAGAAAGAAAGGATAAAAAATAATAAAGAAATATATATACGTAAGTGGACATGTGGTAAATATTGTAATTTAAACATTGCAAGTTACAAAGCCGGCAGACAAGTAGCCACATCACATCCAAACATTATAGAGGACATGGTCAATTAGGAGGTACATTTATTTCCAAAAACTCCAAGAATTCCCCCCATATTTGATGGAACGCTTCAGGCTTTCCCTTTATGGCAAATGTCAATTTTTCTAAGGCTAAACAATGAGAGAGATTTTTTTAACCAGTGATTGATCGAGGGGTTTTCTGGGTTTTTCCAAAAGACAGCTATCGTGTGTTTAGCTTGGAGAAGAGAAAAAACTACTAGTCTTTTCTTAGTGATATTAAGTCTGGGAGTTAGAGGGAAAACCCCAAGAATACAGAGTTTTGGGCATTCTGGTAATGTGGCGGAAATTATTTTTGACAATGTGCCCAGAACATCTTTCCAAAATGATTTAATATTTGGGCAGTCCCATAAGCAGTGGAACAATGTTCCCTTATCATTATCACACTTTACACATTGATCTGGAATATTTGCATCAAAATGGTGTAGTAGGGATGGAGTTATATAGGTACGCATAATCCATTTGTACTGTAGGAGTCTAAACCTCGTGTTAATAGTTTGAACCTGGGCTTTGTGGCATATCTGCCCCCATTCCTCAATTGTTACCTCTGCATTCAAATCAGTAGACCAAGCAAGTCTTTTCTTCTCTGAGGACTCTTCTGATTCAGTTTTGCAAAGGTCAGAGATCAAAGACACCTGTCCATGACCAGAGGAGTGATGTACTATAATTGTTTCCAGCTTTGACAGAGGTGGACATAATAGTGAGTGATTTTGTGCCTTAGATATATAACTCCTTAGCTGCAGATACTTAAAGAAATGTGTTGAGGGAATATGATGTTTATTTCTTAGCATCTCAAAGGTCATCAGTTTGTTGTCATCATATAGATCACTGATCTTATTGATGCCTCTGTTGGCCCACATTTTAAACCCTGAGTCATATGTTCCTGGTATAAATCTTCTGTTACCCCATACAGGAGTAAAAGAGGATATCTGTGACTTTAAACCTAAGTGGCTTTGTACTTTGAACCAGACATCAACTGTGTTCCTGACAAAAGGGTTTTTTGTATTCTTTTTAAGCTGTTTTGGAGAGTCAGAGAACAAATACAAATTCAGTGGTAGTGGAGTTGTTGTATAATGTTCAATTTCAACCCATGGTATGGGGGTTCCGTCCAAGAACCAACACATTGCTGCTCTTATTTGGGCTGCCCAGTAATACCAGGACAGATTGGGTACCTGGAGTCCTCCTCTCTCATAAGGTAGATATAAAAGGGATAGCCGTAACCTTGGTCTCTGATTGTTCCAGATAAAATTTGTAAAGATTTTCTTCATTTTGGGAAAGAATGAGGATGGTGGGTGCAATGGCAGGGATTGAAATAGATACAAAAATGTAGGTAGGACATTCATCTTGATAATATTGATTCGTCCGATTAGGGATAGAGGGAGTGATGTCCACCTGTTAATAGAATCTGTCACAGAAGCTATTATGGGGTCATAGTTTCTTGGAACAAGGTCTTCTATTTCAGGTGTAATCTGTATTCCTAAATATTTAAAGCCTTCCAGGGAATTTTGGAAATCTGTTTGAAGAGGTGGATTAAGTCTTTCAGATTCTTTAAGTAGAAGAATGTTAGATTTCGAACTATTCACCTTATACCCTGAGAACGTACCAAAATCCTTTATCAGTTTATTGAGCGCTGGCAATGACACTGATACATTTTTTTATAAATAAAACAATATCATCAGCGTAAAGGGCCAGGCGATTTTCAATGTCCCCAACTGTTATTCCTGTGATATGAGAATGAGTTCTAACCGCGATAGCCAGGGGCTCAATTGCCAGTACAAATAGTAATGGAGATAGAGGGCACCCCTGACGTTTCCTGAATTATCCTCAGATTAGTTTAGAGGCATGTCTCTATGCCTGAATCTGTCTCGTTGCAGAAAGTAACACCGCTCCCTCAGGAAGTGTTGATGGACCTGTTCCTCATGGCGCTGCTACTCGCTATGCCAACGCAAAAACCTGTGTCAATAGACTGTAGGTCTTCTAATAAAACCATTTAGAAAATTAAGATTTTTGTTTGTTTTTCATGGACTCCTTGACCTTTTGGCTAAATCTCTCTAGTTGTGCCCCGTGGACGTGTTGATGGACTTTTTCCCTTTGGCGGTAATACTCGTTATGCCAACGCAGCTCCGATAAATGGCGGTAAGTCTTTAACCTTTTTAGACTGGTTCAGAAGCTTTAAATGAACTATAAACTGCTGGACATGTTGCCTAAAACTGCCTCTGGTTCCAGGTCAAACTAGAAGTAACCGAGGTGGACTCTATGATGGAACTGTTCCCTTGGGCGGTGCGCCTCATTACTCCAACGTAGGCTACCCTGTTACAAATAAGGGTACGTTTTTGACTGGTTTGGAAGCATGACGTTTGTTTCGTTTAACTTCTTGACATTTCACCTAAATATGTCTCTGATTTCAGATCAAACCAGTATTAACACAGCTGATGGACCTGTTAGCTACGAACCGACGGATCCTGTGGTATTTCCCTGGGCAAAAACCTCGTTCATGAAACCGAACAACTGGAGGCCACCTTTCTGGGGTTTCGCCCAATGGGAACCAATCACGGAGACCCCGGTGAGCGATAAGTCGCCTCCGCTGTCTTCGTCCTACATAGTCCAGTCCAGAAACAGCTACCAGCGGGAAAAGGAAGTCCTCTCTCACTCCAGTTTCTCCCCAGAGTCAGAGGTCTTCGAAGCACCGAGGAGAAGGAAGACACCGGGGGGTCTTTCCATCGCAGGGACCAATGTCTTCTGAGGTACAACGCAAACAGTTCTTTAGCTGCACATGCATGGGTGTGTTTAACGCTCGGGACATGAACTCACCAACAAATGAAAAATAGTTTGCTCCAAGAAATGTTAACTTTCAGACTATCACCTGAACTTTTTAAAGAACATCCATCTGGTCTTCTGAGGTACAACGCAAACAAGTTCTTTAGCTGTACATAAGATAAGAAGTACTTTTTGATCCCAATTTGGGAAATGTTTGCGTTGCATCAGAATCAGGTTTATTACCAGGCAGGTTGACCCGTACGAGGAATTTGACTTGATGTTGTGGTGTATACATAAAAGTAAAACCAGAATTAAAAACACAGAACTAGAAAGATATTTACAAATATAGCAGTATTTACATGGACATTAATTCTGCCAGGAATGGATGCTTTGGTGTCTTTAACTAGTTCCTGCTTTTGTAATGCTATTTGAGATGTTTACATTTTGGATTGTTTTCTAGTCTTTGAATTCCTCTAATGTACAATGCCTTGTCTTTTTATGCTGCTGAAATGCAAAGATTTCCCAAATTGGGATCAATAAAGTCCTTATCTTAACGCTGGGGACATGAACCCAGCATAACATGTGAAAAATAGCTTGCACTGAGAAATGTTTACTTTAGTTACACAATAAAGCTAAATAAATATAGAATAAATGCCTCACTACGTGTTAGTATCATCAACGTAATGCAATCATCCAAAATCAAATGGAGGAATCCCATTGGACCAGGGAGATGATGCCTTCAGGGACCAACACAGATACCACTTTATTGATTCATGACTAAACTTTGACTCTCTCTTGCAGGCGAACTCTGACTGTTTCCTGGAAAAGTATCAATAAAAACACTTCTGATCATAATGAGGTTTTCTTTTCTTTGAGAGTCTGAGATTGTTCCCTTTAACTCCACATCCCACGGACTGAAAAACGGTACAACTGTGACGTTAATGTAATTTGTCCTCCTCTGCAAGTTCTACAGTGTGACCAAAGACTGGAAACTGATATTATATGAGCGAGTCTCACAGCTCTTGTCTTTAGATTGTGCTCTCTGTCCTCACACACTGATTACTGAGTGGACATCTGTCCTCTGAAGAGCCTCTTCTGAGCAGAAATGACACACACACACACACAGTCTGCGTGTCACAGGAAACATGAAGAGTTATAACACAATGTGCATCATGCAGGAAGCAATATTTAAATTAATGTCCTTTTTTTTCATTTTGGTTTCTGTTGATTCTCCAGTTTTCCTGGGTCTTCACAATAAAAGCCTTTCAGGTAAAGGAAAGGTTCTAATCCAGTGCTGGCTCAATACAAGCAATGCTTTTCTTATTTGTATAGAAACGTCCTGAATGTACCAAGCTGCAGGTTCTGAAGATGCCAACACACATATTGAGTAATGTCTGGAAAACACATATAAAATTACCAACAATCACTTAAAATGTCCCCAAACGAGTCTGAAAAATATGGGAAATATTTCAAGAAAATATCCTTACAATATCTGAAAAATGCCAAAAGATTTCATGACAATATAAAATGTCTGCACTTGATTCAAAAATGTCCCCAGACAGACATGAGTAATGTATTCTCAAGTGAGTGCGTGTCTCTGTATCTTCAAAAGTGTGTCCTCATTCTGCTGATGAGCCTCTCCACTTTTGATGATCTTGTGTCTTTAGGTGACACACACACTCTTGTATTATATTGTATTTACAGTTCTGCTGCCCTCTAGTGGCTTAAACCTTAGTCTTCTTTGGAGACAGTATCCTATGTTTGTCTTTTATTACTAGCAGTCTGGTCTAACTCATTCTGTACACTGTGTATATGTGTATTCATAAGATACTATCTATTTTATACATTTCTGTTTATTTTTGATTTATCGCTCCTGTGCAATGCCTTGTAAACAAAACCATTTCCTGATTTAGGATCAATAAATATAATCTATTCGTATTTTTAATTTAACATGTTATCCTTATCTAATACAATACATTAAAGGTGGGGTAGGTAAGTTTGAGAAACCGGCTCGAGATACACTTTTTGTTATATTCCATGGAATGCTCTTAACATCCCGATAGCAATGAATATCTGAAGTGCTTTGACAAAAAATCCATAAAACAATATCATCTGTGGAAGCCGTAGTACTGTAAAAAGCACGACCAATCATCTGAGCCGGCCCGGCTAAAATAACTGGATGGCCTACCTGCCTGTCAGCCTTCCATCTGTGCACACACTTATCTCGTGCCCTCATTGGTCATGTTAATAAATATATATATATATATATATATATATACACATATACAGTGGCAGATTTTCAAATTCTAGTGATCTCGAGCCGGGTTGCGGTCGAATAGTCCATTTAGCTTAGGAACCTTCCTAACGGAGTGAATTGACCCGGAAGTCCCTCAGTGGCAGCCATGATAAGTGCCATTCAAATTCTCTAAATGAAAGGAAAGGAGGTTTTAACCTTTTATAACCTCCTTTAGCTTAAGAACCACTGGACCTCCCTAACCTAAAGGAGAGGAGAAAATGCTGCCCCACAATGCCTTGCGGCCGCGGCATTTGCCGTCACACAACAGTCGGCCGTTCACGGAAACAACCGATTATGAACGAGAAATTATATCATGAAAGTTACGGTGCTTATTAAGCATTTTAAAACGTATGTGGTAAGTTGCCAAAGTGCTTTGTTTTGAACGTTCATCAGTATTATAATCAAAAAGAGAAATATGAACGTTAGTTTTTACTGAAATGATCAAATAAAGTCAACATTTCACAGTCTTTACTGAGCTGTGTGGGGTTTGTTCAACTTTTAAAAGATGTTTGAATGGTGATATACACAGTGATAGATGTTAAGGACTAACGTTTATAATAAATACATTTGTATTGATTTTAAGATCTTTTCATACAATCATACGTATTGGGATCATTTGTATTAATGTGGACCGGAGGGAGAGGGTGACGAGCATAAGTTTCACTTTCCTTTTTTATTTCAATTCCAACTTTGGTCATGAAGAATATGTTTCTCTGTTGTCCCCGTTCATAAAGCATAACAGCATCAGAGCACGGTGCAGAGTCTCTAGATGAGTTTACAGTAGTCCCTCGTTCTTATTAAACATCCATGTTGTAGTCCACTGTATAGAAAACTGTAGTTTCCATAGTTTCCCCACAGCAGCAGGCGCACATTTATGACCTCCGCTGGCGCATCATAAACACGTTAGATAGTGACAGTGCAGTCGGGTGCTCTAAGTACAGTAGTCTCTTCTCCTAAGTCCTTTTGAATTCTCCTATCCACTATCCCTTAACCCCGTGACGTTTCACTCAGAGGTCAAGGAATAGACGATAAGGTTAGAATTTAGGAGCTGATTTTTTGACTATTCGACCGCAACCCCGGTTTCTCAAACTGACCTACCCTACCTTTAATAAAGTCAACCATTTTAGACAGAATTCCTGTGCAGGTGTAGTTTCTGATCTGTCCACACGATGGCGCTCAGTTTCCATCATCAGGATAAAACGGCTGAATTTGCTTTAAATACAAATGTCTGTAATAATTGCACAGAAACATCCTGCTATTAATCTGTGTTTCACCTCTGTAATGTTTTATTTTTCTGGTAGCCTTTTTAGTTGTCACACATTTGCAAAATATGTCAAAAATACCCTAAAACCTTCGAAAAATGTGCAAAGAGATTCAGAAAAATGAAAACAAAAAAGCAGAAAATATCTGAAAAACATTTCACACAAATGTCCAACACACACAACACTTTTCAAATTAATATCTTCCAAGTAGCTTTAGCTGTATATTTAGATATATCTCAGTGTTTCCCCTAGGATGGAGTGATATTGACATAGGTAATATACGTCAAAATGGCTTCAAATGTATTCAGTATTGTATGAACCTGTTTGAATTGTGGGGTAGACGTCACATCTTCTAGGGGGGTCCGGGGGTATGCCCCCCCGGGAAGATTTCTTTGAACATTTAAAAGTAAAATGCTTCAATCTGGTGCACTTTGAGCACACAATTACTAGAGACCTGGGGCCTCATTTATAAAAAGGGATATACGCTCAAAAAAGCGTACGCCAGTTTCTACGCAATGTTTGCGATTTATAAAATACTAACTTGACGGGAAAATGTGCGGTCCTCCACGCAAACTCTAACCCATGCGTACGCACTAAGCACACAAACGGGAGAGACGAGAAACTGCGACACCGTTGGCAGAAGGAAGAATGGAGAGAAATATGTGGAAATAATACCATAAATAAAATGTTACCTCATTTATCAAATATGAAGAATTCATTTTCAAACATTGATTAAAGCCAATCTTAAAATGATTAAACAAACGCCTGTTTGAGACTCCTCAGTGCTCACAAAAACATAACTTGGAGAAATAAATAAATACGGATATGTTATTTAAAACCACCTCGAATATGTTGTGTTAATGTTATGAAATGTTTTCTCATAAATGATGCGGTAAGCAGAAGGACAGAATTACGTCTAAACTGACGCCGTTTTGCATTTCTATAGGTTGTAGATACGAGCATGGTTTTATATACTATCACGTTTAATCGTGTTTTATGCCGTTTGCCAAGACTTGATAAGTCGCTCGTAAAACACAGGAGGTATGGAAACTAAGAACACCAGATGTGGTAAATTGTACAGCTTACACATTGTATTTCCTTTAACTGGTGGATTATGGATATATAGTTGCTGATCGACAGCTGGAACACAAACCACCAAATACAACAAAAATAATTCAGATCCAGTCGTCATGACTCCACTCCGGAGGGATTCCCCGATCATTTCTTACAGTTTCTCATCAAGGGGGTCTCCTGTCCCCGGGACAAACACACTGCCTGAGGAAGGTTATGTGTATTTTTTTTGTCATTAACTTTTTTCGGACCACTTATTTATTTATTTTGGTGACGATCCGACCTCCATGCTGCTACTCTGGTTCAAACTGCATCCACCAAACAATATGATTTATCTCCACCTCCCCAAAATAACCAAAATCTGACACGGTGTGAGATGTCTTTTTTAGCTGTCATTTCCTGCGATCTTCTTGATGCAGTCAGTCAAAATGAATGAATGAATGGGCTTTTCTTTGACTATTTATAGGCAAATATGGGCGTTACGTGAAGCCCGCAAAAGCTGCGCCGCATTTCGAGTCGATTGTGATTTCTAAAGGGAAACAGGCGTAGGAAGTGCCGTACGCACTTCCCTCGCCGGTACGCAATGTTTTGTGAATCGGAAAATGTCGGAAAATTTCTGTACCTATTTTTTTGCTTTGTACTACGTAAGCAACCTTCCCACGTCAATCCTACGCAAGTCGTTATAAATGAGGCCCCTGATCTGGGGGGTACAACTCTAAAACACCCATCTGAAAAAGATCGGTTTACATTTTAATAATCAAATAAGTATATGAACATAACCAATAACCTACCATAGCCGATAACAAATAAATGTAACTTATTTTATTTTTGTTGTTCATTCATATCTTATTTTACCTTAACATTTATTTATTTATGCATATTTTTGTATCTCTCCAACTTTAAACGATATGTTTGGTTTACTGTCCTATAGTATACACTGGAATGATTTCAAACCTGTTTTTATTTATCCTAATAATTATAAAGGCGTGCCTTGGAAATATGTGTTTACATAAAAATATGTTAAAAGATTTAGAAAAATGAAAGAAAACGGGAACATTTCTGAGAAATATTTAAAACATTTGACACAAATCTCCTAAACACACACACACACACACACACACACACACACACACACACACACACACACACACACACACACACACACACACACACACACACACACCAAATCATCCAACCAACCAAAAACAGCCTTTTTAGTCCTTGTTACTGACTCTACCTTCCTATGCACACATTTACAAAATATGTAAAAATAATTGCAGAAAAATTTCCCAAAAGAACCTTCGAAAAATGTGTAAAGATTTAAAAAAGAAAAAAAAAAAACATTTCACACAAAACACAAAAAGACACATAGCAAATCAACCAACCAACCAAATACAGAAAGCCATTGACCTCCAGACCAAGGGACAGGAAGTGATGAAAGAACTCATTCCTGCACCTCTCTTTTCTCATATCTTCCATGAAGCTTAAGCTGTAGATTTAGATTCATCATTAAGTTATAGATTCAGATTTAGGATAACAACCAAAAACAATTTCAGAAAACCATTTTTAAAATGTCACAAAAAGTGGTAAAACGGTGCATTCTACACTGCTTCTCCTCCTCCTCCCCTGGTGGACTTCAGCTCCTGATGGTCTTCAGTTCCTGCTGGACGGTGCTCTGAGTTCCCGATGATGATGATGGGGCCTCCTCTTCCCCCCCGCAGCAGCGCAGGGTCCTGGGCAGCGAGCCGCACAGAGCCCTCCTGAAGGTGGAGCTGGAGAACACGTAGACCACGGGGTCCAGAGCAGAGTTCAGGAAGTTCATCCCCAGAGACACGATGGTGATCTGGGTGAAGGAGTAGAAGGAGGCGCAGTCCCAGGGTCTGAAGGAGGTGATGAACCAGAGCCCGAGGGTGGAGAGGGTGGTGGGCAGGAAACACAGCATGAAGACCAGCACGATGGCCACACACACACGCATCGCCTTACGCACCTAGTGAGGATCAGAATAATATTAAAGCTTTATTAGTACAGCACTTTGCCTACACCAGAATCCAAAAATGTGTAAAAAAAATATGTTAAAATATTCAGAAAATGGAAAAACAAAGCAGAAAATGTCTCAAATAATATTTAAAACGTGACACACGTCACACACACACACACACACACACACACACACACACACACACCACACACACACACACACACACACACACACACACACACACACACACACACACACACACACACACACACACACACACACACAGTAATGTTGAGTACCCAAACGTTTTATGATAGAAATGTAGAGTAGGGTCTCCAGCACATAGAAACTGCCGGATGCTAACCTGCAGATGTTGGGACATCTACACAAGGTTCACACTGCTAGACTATAAGGGACAGAAGGAGGTGAAAGGTATGATAGATAAATCCCTCTCTGTGAAATAAAGGAAAGATCAAAGACAAACCTTCTCCGGGTTCCCGATCTGTCGTCCTCGCAGGAAGCTGTGGATCCTGACGGAGCAGAAGAGCAAGATGGCGGCCGGCAGGAAGAACTGAGAAATGAGAGAAGTAGAAAGTACAGGTATTTGGGTTCAACATGTAAGAAGTAGAAAGTACAGGTATTTGGGTTCAACATGTAAGAAGTAGAAAGTACAGGTATTTGTGTTCAACATGTGAGAAGTAGAAAGTACAGGTATTTGTGTTCAACATGTGAGAAGTAGAAAGTACAGGTATTTGTGTTCAAAATGTAAGAAGTAGAAAGTACAGGTATTTGTGTTCAACATGTAAGAAGTAGAAAGTTCAGGTATTTGTGTTCAACATGTAAGAAGTAAAAAGTACAGGTATTTGAGTTCAACATGTAAGAAGTAGAAAGTTCAGGTATTTGTGTTCAAAATGTAAGAAGTAGAAAGTACAGGTATTTGTGTTCAACATGTGAGAAGTAGAAAGTTCAGGTATTTGTGTTCAAAATGTAAGAAGTAGAAAGTACAGGTATTTGTGTTCAACATGTGAGAAGTAGAAAGTTCAGGTATTTGTGTTCAACATGTGAGAAGTAGAAAGTACAGGTATTTGTGTTCAACATGTAAGAAGTAGAAAGTACAGGTATTTGTGGTCAAAATGTAAGAAGTAGAAAGTACAGGTATTAGTGTTCAACATGTAAGAAGTAGAAAGTACAGGTATTTGTGTTCAACATGTAAGAAGTAGAAAGTACAGGTATTTGTGTTCAACATGTGAGAAGTAGAAAGTACAGGTATTTGTGTTCAACATGTAAGAAGTAGAAAGTACAGGTATTTGGGTTCAAAATGTAAGAAGTAGAAAGTACAGGTATTTGTGTTCAAAATGTAAGAAGTAGAAAGTACAGGTATTTGTGTTCAACATGTAAGAAGTAGAAAGTACAGGTATTAGTGTTCAACATGTAAGAAGTAGAAAGTACAGGTATTTGTGTTCAACATGTAAGAAGTAGAAAGTACAGGTATTTGGGTTCAAAATGTAAGAAGTAGAAAGTACAGGTATTTGTGTTCAAAATGTAAGAAGTAGAAAGTACAGGTATTTGTGTTCAACATGTAAGAAGTAGAAAGTACAGGTATTTGTGTTCAAAATGTAAGAAGTCAAAGTAAAAAGTGGTCAGAAAAATAAGTAGTGGAGTAAAGTACTGATACCAGAAAAATGTACTTAAGTACAGTAACAAAGTATTTGTACTCCACTACTTCCACCTCTGCTAGCAGTTCTCTCACCTTGTAGGAGGTGAAGAAGAAGCACTGGGAGCGATGGCCGCGCCTCTTGATGTGGTTGAAGGCCAGCATGGGAACACGGGGGCCGATCACCAGAAACCAGACGATCAGAGACACAAACGCAGCCTGACGCCTCGTCATGAGGTTCACCCGGTGGTGAGGGGGGACCACCTGCAGAGAGAGCGCTAACGTTAGCATTCTGGCACCATTTTTGGATGAAAACACAAGAAATTATATTTTCGTACAAAAATCAGGAGAGAATTCATTATTTTGAGACCAATTTTCAGATTTGTCTCTCTTTGCAACTCTTTTGAAACACAGAGCGGTAACGTTAGCTAAACCCTGTCAACACACGACTGTTGGCGGTAGATTTTATTCCCTCACCTTTTTGTTACCCCCCCCCCCTTGAAGTAGCAGTAGATGTTATCCCCTCACCTTAAAGTAGCGGTAGATGGCCACCACGGTCATCAGTGCGATGCTAGCTGAGCGGTTGGAGAACATCAGGAAGAGGTTGATCCGACACATGGCGTCTCCGAACACCCAGTGACCGACGAGCAGAGCGTGGATCCTGAGAGGGAGACTGATCAGCGCCAGGAAGTCTGCGATCACCAGGTTGAAGAGGAACAGCGTGTTGGGGTTCCACTTCTTCACCTTAAAGCAGAAGATCCACAGGGCAACTGCATTACCCAGAAGCCCCAGGGTGACGTCGATGGTGAGGACGGGGGGCAGGATGAGACCCTCGAGTTGGATCCCGACCGGAGGGCATCCGCCAACGGGGGGCGCGGTCGTGAAGTTCAACATCGTGGTGACGTTTAGCTCCGTTAGCATCTCGGTTAATTCTATCTTTACTCTAACCCAGATAAACGTTTCATTATGGGGATGAGTTTCCAGTAAGACGGACAAAGATATGATTATTTTTAGATGATTCTCATAAATAATGTTGTGTTTTTAGAGGGTGGACACGCACACAGGGAGGTGTCGGGATTCAGGACGTTTGCCAATTCCCCTTTTCACCTTCCTCCTTTTCTCTGAAAATGAGGAAAACACAGAGAGTACTTTTTAGCGTAAGAACATGAAGTAATGTGACTTCCTGTTCAGATAATAACACATCTTGTACAAAACACAAGGAGTCTAATGTTAAAAAAGTGGTTTATTAGGCCATTTGACATTATTCTTAAAGCACATTTTTAAAGACATTAAAGCTTATAATATTTATTTATTTTTGTTTATTTTTGTATTTACATATTCTCAATTTATAATATTTTGTATTTATTTTATAAAATATTTATTTATTATTGTTCCTTTTTTATATATTTGTATTTGCATATTCTTAATTTCTAATATTTAATATTCTTTTTTTTATATTTAGTATACATAATAAGTGATTTCAAGAGGAACAAATCATTTAAGGTAATACATGAACATAATAGGGTTATGGATTTCATTTCTTCTGATTGAGATGTGAGTCATCAAATGTTCCTCCCCTTTGGAAAATATTCTGAAGGACAACATTTTTCTCAAAAACAAAATATCAAAGTGAGTGAACAGAATCACACTTACTTCTCCTGAGTCGTCCTGTCAGCTGCTTCTCTCTCTGTCTCTCTCGATGTGCTGCTGAAGACTCAGATATCCACGAGGTCGCTGCTCTCTTTGAGCCACCTTTGGGCAAATATTTCAATATTAAAATTCAGTCTATCATGGTTGATATAGGATCCAATGATGGAAGGAATATCAATTACATGTAACAGGGAAAAAAGTTGAACACACTTCCTTGTTGACTGTCTGACACACGGAAAGAAAGGTACCATTCCAAAATATGCACTAATGATAACTATTGAATGTTTATATTTTTAAATGTTTTTGTTCGAATATTGCTTTAAGAGAACATTCTGGCTGTATTTGAGCCCCTCATATTACAAGTTTGTCAATATTATTTAAAATTCAGTCACATAGTTTCTTTATTCTTCTTCAAAAACCTACTGCTCACTTACAAAGCCCTACATAACCTGTAATTGTACGGTGTCCTTGGGTGTCATGAAAGGCGCCTAAAATAGAATGTATTATTATTATTATTATTATTATTATTATTATTATTATTCTGAAACACAAGTCAAAAACATTATCTCTTTGTTGTCTCTATTCTTATGAGTCTACTCTGTCCATCCAGCTATTTCATTCCTGTGAATGCTATATCTCAGGAGAACGTGAGGTCAAGTCTTGCACAATCTTCCACTTGGACTCAAGGATGAATCCATTTCTGTCACATGTTTGACCTTTGAGTGTGGTCAAGAGGCCAAAAGTCTCTGTGACTTCACAAAACAAGATGTTGTGGCCGTAACAAGAATTATAATGTTAGCTATGACAATGTGACTCAACTTTCCGATCAGTAAATAGCAATAATCGTGCATAAACAAGATAGTTTTGGGATTAGAATTTCTCAAAACAAAGAAAACCAAGTGTAAGCACTGTGGGACAACAAACATTTTTTTAGAATGACTTGATATTGAACTATTTGAATGTACTGCCTGATTTCTCCAAGAAAGATAGTGATAACAACTTAACTTATTTAACTGGCAAATATCTAGCTTCACGTTTAATCATGTTTAAAGTAAAATATTTCATATAAATATAAGTAATACAGTAGGGATTACAGACTGATCCAGCCAGGCCATGCACAGAACACTGGGGCAGTCCCTGTGTAACATCACATTTACATGAACATTCAAAACTGCACAACTAGAACAAAGACTGCTCTTACTTGACTTAGGGGGAAACATATCACAAGTCAAATGAGTGCACACTTTGGTTTGCAGCACACCTAAACAGACCTATCCCATATTTCTCTCCTATCTGATTAACTCTGCCATGCCAACAGTCACATTTTTAATACAATTTGGCATCGCTGTTTTCATGTCATTATGCTGATAAAGTCAAAGTCAACTTTATTGTCAATCAATTTAATAAGTAAGTCACTGGAACAAATGTTGTGACTGAAACAAATCCCATCAAATATTAAGAAATACAATAAAAACAAAGTTTTTCATAAATAATGTATTTATTACCCCAGACTTCTTTTATTCTTCTGTATCTTGGACAAAGTAACTAAAACAAAAAAATACAATTGTAACAAGATCATTGACAAAAACCTTGTTTCTTAATGAAACACCAATAATGGTATTTTAGGTTTTTTATGCGCCATGACTAAACTAAACATTTAAAAAATCTCCTTCTTCTTGCTTTAAATGTGCACCTCTCCTTAAATGATTGGCCCCATCACGGCCCCCCCGGTAAAATGAGTCTATAACCGCTACTGTGTGTATAGGAAAGGCCTGATCCATTCACATGGTAGACCATTACAAGCGTCTTGAACCGGATTCAGGCAGCCACTGACAGCCAGTGAAGGCGGAGGAGTGGTGTGTCTATGGGAATAACTTAGGGAGATTGAGAACCAGTCAACCTGCAGCAGTTTGAATGAGTTGTAGAGGTTGGATGGTGCTTGCAGGTAGACCGGTCAGGAGGGAGTCCCAGAGTTTTAGAAGTCAAGATGTGAGAGGTCAAGGGCCTGGACCAGAACCTGTGTTGCATTCTGGGTCAGTCAGAGACGTATCAGAATCAGAATCAGAATCAGAAACAGGTTTATTGCCAGGTAGGTTCGCACATACTAGGAATTTGACTTGATGTCATGGTGCATACATAAAATATAAAAAACAAGAAATCTAATATAAAACAAAAAATCTTTTACACCGTAATAAAATATAGTTAAATAGCAATAAAAATAAAAATAAAGCAGTCATTTACATGGAAATAGAATGCTATGAATGAATTTTAGAATATAAACTATGAAATGTGAAATAAGAATATGTGCAGTAAGGAGTATGAACATTGTGTGCATTAATGTAATGCATATAGTCTATACAAATATTTAATGGGGTTCAATTGAGACTCATGTTTCAATATCACGTGAAATTTCTGTTTAGAAAGTCATTATGAAATTGTTTGTAAGATGTGTATGCATTGCTATCATAGGCATATCTCACTGACAGCAGGCACATATTCTCAACAGAAGAATCCGGTTCAAGTGCGCCTTCTAGTGCTGAAAGATAACTAGATCACATTTTATGACTAATCAGCACATTTCCTGCTTTCTAAGTGTGCTTATATTTTGGCAAGCACCTTCTTAGAAATCAAGAATTAAATCTATCAGTGAACACATTTTTAGTCCTTGTTACTGACTTTATCTCCCTATGTACACATTTACAGAAAAATGTCCCCAAAACCTAAAGTGTGCAAAAAATATGTTAAAAGATTTAGAAAAATGAAAAAAAACGGAAAAATGTCTGAGAAATATTTAAAACATTTGACACAAATCTCCTAAACACACACACACACACACACACACACACACACACACACACACACACACACACACACACACACACACACACACACACACACACACACACACACACACACACACACACACACACACACACATGGCAGAAAACACATGATAATGTACATATACTGTGTACATAAATGATGTATTATCATCACTTTTATTTTCATTCATGACTTTGTAAATCTCAAGTTTGAACATGTCGGAAACAAGTCTGGTTTATTCCACCGATGTATGCATGTACTTCGTTTTATTATAAGTTCAATGAAACAGTTATTTATGAAAAGCGTGCATCAGGCTGCAGTGGGTTAGTTCCTCCACAAGAGGGCGGCCTCAGCTCTCTCTCATTGTCTACAGACTCTGGTTTTGGGTTCATATCATCTTCTCAAACACAACTAAACTGCACATCTTTACTTTCAATCATTTACATCCATTTGGGAACCATATCACTTCCACAAGACCTTTACATCATGCATTCATAAACAGTAGTGAAGTATACTGTAGTGTATAGATGGATAGGCAGTTGGATAGATAGAGAGATAGATAGAGAGATAGATAGATAGATAGATAGATAGGTGTGTGTGTGTGTGTGTGTGTGTGTGTGTGTGTGTGTGTGTGTGTGGTGTGTGTGTGTGTGTGTGTGTGTGTGTGTGTGTGTGTGTGTGTGTGTGTGTGTGTGTGTGTGTGTGTGTGTGTGTGTGTGTGTGTGTGTGTGTGTGTGTGTGTGTGTGTGTGTGTGTGTGTGTGTGTGTGTGTGTGTGTGTGTGTGTTGTGTGTGTGTGTGTAAGCTGCAGCTTGCTTCTATAACATCTCTCTGTGTGCGGTTCTGAGTTGATCCTCCTCTCACCAACATGTGAGCTGTTGTATGAAACATAATGAAGTCTTTAGAGGTGTTGTGACAAGAAGAAGAGATGTTTTTACAACCCACTGATAGGGGATTTACTATTTATAAGCAATGCACGTTCTGGATGAGGTTTCCTTATAGAGCGGTAGAGGTAATGAGTCCTGCAAACCCGGAAATGAGTCAGCATTTTACCATCTTTACACCCCTAATTACCCTAAAAATAATGTCCATGGTTAATACAAGCTGAAGAAAATTATGACATTTTGCTCCACGACATTAAATATGTCAGTAAATACCCCACTGGGGAATGAACAAGTGTCTAAATGGGACGACTAAACGTCATCACGCCCAACATTAGCTGCCTTTAGCTTAGCGGTGGTGACGTGAAGTCTTGAATGCATTGTTTGTTTATAGCCTAATGTTAGCTTTTAAACCAGGAGATTGCACATATGCTTCAAAAATGGTAAACGTGGTGTTACTAAGTGGATATATTATCCTGCTGAACAACACGTGTAAGGATCATAGACTTGTGTTTAAATCCAATGGTAAAATCCCATTAGCTTTTTGCTCAGGGAGCCCATGCAATGTTCCGTATACATCAACACGTCTCTCAACTCTACATCCAAACTCAAGGATAATATTACTAAATGTTTGACCATGATACATGATACCATTTCTGTGAAAGCCACATATAACACAAATGTCTTTATTATACGTTTTTGTGAACTTTGTGAGGCTTCAACCAAAAAAAACACACTTTGCTGTTTTTGGTATCAAAGTTGAAATGTCAAAGGGGGAACCTGAGGCCAAATTAGCTGAATGAATAACGATTTTAACCAAAATACATTCATCTGTATAACATTTTTTTAAAGATTATTCTGACCTGGAGAAAATCTAAAGACTAAAGAAGAGACACAAATAAACAACTCTCTGTATCAGGAAGGATTTGCTCCAAACTTTTTGACATAACATTAACTTTATTTCTCGACACATCAGAGTTCACAGTGAGTTCCACACGGTAACAAAACACTCAGCAGTCTGCTGCTACGCCGTGTGACCAGTTCAAAAAGATACGGTTCAAAAAGTGACATTTAAGCGTGAAATAAAAATGAAATACTTTATAAAAAGTGACAGGTGTTCAGGTTTGTAGAGCAGGTGAGTTCAGGCCTGGGACAGATACACCTGTAAGACAGAAATAGCACACATATTGAGTTATAGCCAGGGGCGGACTGGGACTACAAATCAGCCCGGGACTCTCGACCGGCCCACATCAGCACCGCAAGTAATTACCGCTAGTAAGTACCGGCCAGGCCGCCCCTGGTTATAGCACCCGAAATGAACATTTCATAGCACAACCTAACGAAAAAATCTACTTTTGACTTTCTGGCTACACTTAAGGCTATAAAGAG